ACCCCGGGGGTAATGTTTTTCCCTTTAAATCCTTTCAGATACTGAACTATTTCCTTGTTGGTTTTCAGGGGGAAATCTTGCCCACACGTGTTGATGGCGTACTTCCATGGGATCTCCGAGGCCACAAGATCTTTGATGCAGTTCAGGTCAGCCTGGAGCCTGGAAATCCCACCATACACAACTGGCTCCATCTTGGAAGCCAGAAAGGCATTTGGGAAGCAGCTCAGTAATTGCTTCACTGCATCTTTAAATTCAACTGTCGCCTTTTCATCCACATGAACGCAGTAGACATTCTGAGGCATGTAAATAGCTCTGAAAAGTCTCTCAAAAGTGCCGAAGTCTTTGTGGATAGTCACTGTGTAAGCCAAAGGGAACCCAGCCTCTTCTTCAGAGAGTGTTTCTGTTATATAGTGACTTTGAATCATGTATTCAAAACAGGAAGATTCACTGAGGGTAGTTTTCAGTGCATTCTCTGTTGAGTAAAAAACTTTCCCCTTAAAAATCTGATGACAAGTTTCTGCTAAGAGCGAAGCATTGGAAATAGATGCCCTCAGAAAATGTTTCTTCTCCCATAATTTGTTATTGTAAACAAATACGAAAATCAGAGCAGTGATAAGAGACACGCTGAAAAGATAATGCTTCCAGGAGCCCATTATCCAAAACCAGGAAATGAGTAAAATATCTCTTGAGATCTGATCAGAGTGGAGATACATTTAACTTACATTTTCCCCAGAATCCATAATCATCCTTTTGGTGCATGCAAAAGGCTGCTTCATGTCCTTCCAGTCGACCATTTTTGTCCTTTTTCTTTCTTGTTTCCCTCCTCATTTACTGCTGTGTTGCATTTCCAACTTTCTTTGACACGTTTCTGAAGTAATTCCTTTGGAGTTGCTTTGCTCAGTCTCCCACTAATCTGCAACCTGTTACTACACAAAAATAATTTGCCTCAGGGAGGCTGTGATTACAATGTGTCCACCTACCCCCACAGTAAAATCATTAATGGGTGAGGTGACCATTCTGCAAGTCATGACTGCAAGACTTCAAACCTAGCCTCTTCTCTTGGCCAAAGGTTGTCAACTCTATCAGCTCCTCAACTTCCTGTTAATCATTGTGCTCAGATGACTGAGTTTGTTTGCTTAAACAGCACTGCCAAGTTAAAAGCGTCAGTTCTTAGCATGTGAACATCGCCTGGAGAGATATTCTGTCAATAAATATTTAGTACTTAAAAAGAAAAAGCTTAACCCTGTCTTTTTCCACACAACCCCCCACCCTGCCCCCATCTCTATGTTGGCTGGGTATACTATAAAGTAAAGCATATGAATGGTTGTTGAGCCAAATTCTTTCCAGGGCTTAATTTTCTCTGCTGTTAGATAAGGTCTTTTACAATACACATTAGCAAGCTTACTTCACCACCTAACTTACTCTGCAAAGTAACTGGGTCACTCTGATGAATAAAGACAGTTTTTTTGAAAAAGCAAAAAAAATTAAGAGCCTGTCATCATCCAAAAATTGTGTAGAGGATAAAGATGAATGTCAAGTTTATTTCAGCTTAGCCCAAATAGGATACAAGGGAAGCAGCCTCATTCCTGCAGAGGTAGGAGAGAGGAGTCATCTTAGTTAGCCACTGTCTAGAATTTAAGGAGAGAAGATCCTTAGATTCAGACTTATAAACCCTTTCAAAGGAGTTTTCTTAACTAAAAAAGAAAAAAGAAAAAAATGAGAATACACAATTTTACCACCTTCATAGGTCAGTTATGAGAATACAAATGTGATCTCATGTATAAAGAGTTCATAGCCATGCCCAGCAATAAATGGGGAAGACAGAGAAAACAAGAGTCTCTTCCCCATATCTGAATGTCAAAAAAATGAAACAATTACACTTCTTTGAAATCTTCTCTTTAAAAAAAAAAAAGATTTTATTTATTTATTTTCAGAGAAAGGGGAGGGAGAAAGAGGGAGAGAAACTTTGATGTGTGAGAGAAACATCAAGTGGTTGCTTCTCGCACTACCCCAGCTGGGGACCTGTCCCACAACCCAGGCATGTGTCCTGACCAGGAATCAAATCACTGACCTTTCTTTCGGTTCACAAGCTGGCGCTCAATCCACTGAACCACACCAGCCAGGGCTGAAATCTTCTTACTCACCGCTTCTTCCTCTATGCCAGTGAGATGATACATCTAGAACAGCACTAATCAGTTTGTTTACTTGGTAGTTAATTGCAAAGGGGTGTGAAAGTGTCCTGTGCATGCCTGAGGAATGGGCTGGTTAGCTCTGAACTCACTGTCCTTTACCTGTTTCTTGCTCCCACAATTGACTGTACATACTAGACAATTAAATATTTATCAGTCAAGTGTTCGAGTTTTCATTTCTCTGTTTCCCTGTTCACATTTAGTGTGAGTTTCCAAGGATTAACAGTTTGTAATCTATTTTTATATCTGTGAATATGGGTGTATTCAACTACCTATTTTTCCCAATACATCTTTTTTTAATTTAAAGATTTTATTTATTTATTCTTAGACAGAGGAGAAGGGAAGAAGAAAGAGAGGGAGAGAAACTCAATTTGTGGTTGCCTCTCGATCGCCCTCCACAGGACCTGACCTGCAACCCAGGCGGGTGCCCTGACTGGCAATCAAACTGGCGGCCCTTTGGTTTGCAAGCCAGCACTCAATCCACTGAGCCATGCCAGCCAGGGCTATTTTTCCCAATACATTTTAATTATAAAGAGAACATAATATTATGGAGAATTTGTAAACACAATGTTTTCATGTCTGTACTCTCATTTACCTCCTGTCCAGATAGATACATACACATTTTGTTTTACTGAAAAGACGGGACATGTAAGTTTACAAAACTTGTTTTGTAAGTCATATCCTAGCATAACTTTTTCATAGTGTTACTCAGTCTTCACTGAGCATTGTTTTCACAATCATTACTTTAGAGCATAAGACTAAAGTTATTATTTGTTGTTTTTCTCCAACCTAGTGTAAGATAATGTGTTGATGAGATTTTTGCCAACTCTGTTTTATAATTGTCAGTGTTAGAGAAGACAAGAGTCTCAAAGTCTGGGCAGTTCTAAATGATCTTTCTTGCTAAATGTTAAAACATAGCACAGTGTTTTTGCTGATGTAGCAGTAAACAGGATGCGCTGACAGGGATTCAACCTGATGAGTACAGCCAACTGCAAAGAAGATGTCAACATGTAATTGACTAAAGAGTGTGTATCAGCAATGGGAAGCCTCCCTTTATAAAGACAGAGCTTTGGAGATGAATACCCTGTCTCCTCTACTTGCAGCAAGTAAGTAAAACTACCTTGCCACAACCACCTCATTTTTGAACAGAGCACCTCAGCTCTTGAATCCTGTGAGTTCAGTAACATCAGAAGCAGAGGAAATGATGATAAGAAAGGATCGGGAGCGGGGGGGCGGCGGGGGGCGGGGGGGAAGAAAGGACCCAGGGAAATCATTCCAAAGTAGGTGACTCAGTCTTTACTTGTTTTAGGAAATAGATCCACATCATGATTCAGGTGCATAGGCATCTATGTGACCCAAATGTAATTCAGTCAACCCAAATACTTACTTACCTAGCTATCTTTCATGTATCTACCTAGAATTCTTTTGAACAAATCATTTCTACAATACTATAGTCATATGAGAACAATCTTTTCAGAAATGGTGACTATTAAAACATTAATTTGAAAAGATATAAGCATCTCTACGCTCATTGCAGCATATTTTTAATGAAAAATGGCTTTTATTTATTTATTTTAATTTATTTTTTTGTTCAAATACATCTGTCTCTGCCTTCCCACCACCACTTTTCCCTGCCCCCCTCCCCCATCTCCCTCCCTCAGTCCTTCCCCACTTTGGCTTTGTTCATGAGTCCTTGATATATGTTCCTTGACTTGACCCTTCCCTTCCCTTTCACCGCCCACCCCTCCCTCCTTCCATCTTGACTCTGTTGGTTTCTTTTTTCTTCCAGTGTTGCTGGTCATATTTTCCTTGCATCTTTGTTTTGTTGGTTAGGTTCCACTTACAGGTGAGATCATATGGTATTTGTCTTTCTCCCCCTGGCTTATTTCGCTTAGCATAATGCTCTCTAGTTCCATCCATGCTGTCTTGAAGTGTAGTAGTTCTTTTTTCTTTCTGCTGCGTAGTATTCCATTGTGTAAATGTACCATAGTTTTTTGATCCAATCATCTACTGATGGGCATTTATATTGCTTCCAGCACTTGGCTATTGTAAATTGTGCTTCATTGCAGCATTTTTTACCATAGCCAAAATATGGAAGCCACCTAAGTGTCCACCAATAGGCAACTAGTTAAAGAATATGTGGAGTATATATGTAATGCAATATTACGTGGCCACAAAAAAGAATGAAATCTTACCATTTTCAACAACACGAATGGACCTTGAGGGTATCATGCTAAGTGAAATAAATCAGATAAAGACAAATACCATATGATTTAAATATTTGTGGACTCTAAAATAAATAAATAAATAAATAAATAAATAAAAACTGAAACAGGCAAGCTCACTGATATAAAGAACAAACTGATGGTTGCCAGGTAGGAGGAGGGTTTGGGAAAAGGTTGAAAAAGGTTGAAGGGATTAAGACGTACAAATTGGCAGTAATAAAATAGTCAAGAGGACATAAAGAACAGCATAGAGAATACAGTCAATAATATTGTATTAACTATATATGGTGCCTAGTAGATACTGGAATTATCAGGGCAATCACTCCGTAAGTTATATAATTGTCTAACCACTATGCTGTACACCTAAAACAAATATATTTTTTGACTTCCCAATTTTCCTTTTTATTTATCTGTTTGTTTGTTTGTTTTATTTTCCCCAGATCAATACACAGCTTTTATTCCATCTTTAAAATTACACAAATAAATGTAAGGAATATCCCAAGTAAATGTGAGGAATCATTCGGCACTGTGCTGTTTCTATAGCTGGACAACTTAGATTTTATTCACCAGCCTGCTGAACTGTTCCTTATTCAGAAACATAGATACCATCCAAAAATTTTCTGATATCCTTATTTCTAACTGTTGTCTCTTGCTGAATCAAAGCAGCTGAATTTAATACAAGGTCAATGTCATTTCCTTCCAGAATCAACTCATCTTTCAGGGCCTGAGATACTGAACAAGCAACGCCTGACCTCATCTGAACCCTGCGGATGTATTTTTCACCCAAGAAATTTCTGATTTCAACAAGAGAACCATTCTCCTGAATAACGACATTGATGGGGAAGTGGGCGTACACAGACCTCATCTTGTAACAGAAGCCCAGCGTAACACCCTTGATCATGTTCTGTACATGAATGCAGATGGTGCGGACAGTGGCCGGTTCCTTTCTATTTCCCCACCATTTGTCAACCCGGAGCCTCTTCTTTTTCTTTCCAAGAAGACTGAGTTCTACGTCGATGTGGTTGAAATCCTTCCGCAGGGTGCCTCTGGGGCCCTTCACAATAACTGTGCGCCCCTTCAGAGTGATGTCGACATTTTTGGGGATGTCTACAGTCTGATTGCTGAGAATGGTCTTCATCCTCGCAGTAGAAGTGGCAAAGAGCCTGTTTTCTTTTTTTTTTATTGTTCAAATACATTTGTCTCCACTTTCCCGCCACCACGTTCCCCTGTGCCAACCATGCCCATCTCCCACCCTCAATCCTTCACCACCTTGGCTTTGTCCATGGGTCCTTTATACATGTTCCTTGACTTGCCTCTTCCCCTTCTTTTCCCTGTTACCCCCCACCTGCCTCCCCTCTTGTTACCGTCAGTTTGTTTTGTCTTTTAGTATTGCTGGTTATATCTTTCTTGCTTGTTTGTTTTGTTAATTAGGTTCCATTTATAGGTGATATCTTACGGAATTTGTCTTTTACCTTCTGGCTTATTTTGCTTAGCATAATCAAATCCATCCATGCTGTTGCGAAGGGTAGGGGTTCCTTCTTTCTGCTGTGTAGTATTCCGTTGTATAAATGTACCATAGTTTTTTGATCTACTCATTTATTGATGGGCACTTAGGTTGCTTCCAGCACTTGGCTATTGTAAATTGTGTTGCTATTAACATTGGGGTCCATAGGTTCTACTGAATTGGTGTTTTGGGATTCTTAGGGTATAATCCCACCAGTGATATTGCTGGGTCAAAAGGCAGTTCCATTTTTAGATTTTTGAGGAAATTCCAAACTGTTTTCCACAGTGGCTGCACCAGTCTGCATTTCAGCAGTGTACTAGGGTTCCCTTTTCCCCACAACCTCACTAGCACTTGTTTGTTGATTTGTTTATGATGGCCATTCTGACCAGTGTGAAGTGATATCTCATTGTGGTTTTAATTTGTATCTCTATGATGGCTTGTGATGCAGAGGACCCTGTGTACATCCTTGTTGGAGAAATGTTCAGTCCTTTGCTGATTTTTTAATTGGATTGTTTGTCTTCCTGGAGTGGAGTCTTGTGAGTTCTTTCTATATTTTGGAGCTCAAACCCTTGTCTGAGTAATCATTGGAAAATATATTTTCCCAAACGGTTGGTTCCCTTTTCCATTTTGCTAATGTTTTCTTTAGCTATGCAGAAGCTTCTTATTTTGTCGAAGTCCCATTTGTTTATTCTTTCCTTTATGTCCCTTGCTGTAGGGGACATATCAGTGAAAATATTGCTGCGTGGAATATCTGAGATTTTCCTGCCTATGTTCTCCTCTAGGACTTTTATGGTGTCACAACTTATATTTAAGCCTTTTATCCATCTCGATTTTATTTTTGTGTATGGTGTAAGTTGGTGGTCGAATTTCATTTTTTTGCATGTAGCTGTACAGATCTCCCAACACCATTTGTTGAAGAGGCTATTTTTACTCCATTTTATGCTTCTATCCCCTTTGTCAAATAGTAATTGATCATAGAGACATGAGTTTATTTCTGGGCTCTTTATTCTGGTCCATTCATCTATGTGTCTATTCATATGCCAGTACTGGATTGTTTTGATTACAGTGGCCTGGTAATATAGTTTGATGTCCTGTATTGTGATCCCCCCTACTTTGTCCTTTCTCAAAATTGCTGCAGCTATTTGGGGTTGTTTATGGTTCCATACAAAGTTTTGAAATGTTTGTTCTATATCTGTGAAATATGTCATTAGTATTTTAATAGGGATTGTGTTGAATCTATACATTGCTTTAGGTAGTATGGACATTTTGATGATGTTAAGTCTTCCAATCCATGAAGACAGTATATGCTTCCATTTTTGGTGTCTTCCTTAATTTTTGTCTTCAGTGTTGTGTAGCTTTCTGAATGCAGGTCTTTCACCTTCTTGGTAAGGTTTATTCCTAGATACATTATTTCTCTTGTTGCTATAGCAAGTGGGATTTTTTTCCTGATTTCTGTTTCTGATATTTCATTGTTGGTGTACAAAAATGCTTTAGATTTCTAAATATTGGCTTTGTACCCCCTTGTTTTACCAAATTCACTTATTAAGTCGAGAAGTTTTTTGGTGGAGTCTATGGGGTTTTCCATGTACACTATCAAGTCCTCTGCAAACAGTGATAGTTCTACTTCCTCCTTTCCAGTTTGGATGCCTTTTACTTATTTTTCTTATCTAATTGGTGTGGCTAGGACTTCCAACACTATGTCTAATAGAAGTGGTGAAAACACACAGCCCTGTCATGTTCCTGACCTTAGTAGGAAAGCTTTTAGTTTTTGCCTGTTGAGTGTGATGTTGGCTGTAGGTTTTTCATATATGGCCTGTATTATCTTCAGGTATGCTCCCTCTACTCCTACTTTGCTGAGTGTTTTTATCATAAATGGGTGCTGTACCTTACCAAATGTTTTTCTGCATCTATGATACGATCATGTGATTTTGTCTTTCCTTTTGTTTATGTGATGTATTATGTTTATTGATTTGTGAATATTGTACCATCCTTACATCCCTGGGATTAATCCCACTTGATAATGGGGGAAGATCTTTTTAATGTATTGCTGGATGCAGTCTGCCAATATTCTTTTGAGGATTTTAGTGTCTACGTTCATTAGCGATATTGGCCTCTAGTTTTTTCTTTGTGGAATCTTTACCTGGTTTTGGGATTAAGATGATGCTGGCCTCATAAAAAGAGTTTGGGAGACTCCCCTCTTGGATTTTATGGAATAGTTGGAGAAAGACAGGGGTTTGCTCTCCCTTAAATGTTTTGTAAAATTCTCCTGTGAAACCGTCGGGTCCAGGGCTTTTGTGTGCTGGGAGTTTTTTGATTACTGCTTCAATTTCACCAGCTGTTATCAGTCTGTTCAGGCTTTCTGCTTCTTCCTCATTCAGTGTTGGAAGGTTATACTTTTCTAGAAATTTGTCCATTTCATCAAGGTTTTCAAATTTCTTGGCATATAATTGTTCATACTAATTTCTTACCACCCTTTGTATTTCTGTGGTATTAGTTGCAATTGTCCCTCTTTCATTTCTGATATTATTTATTTGGGTTCTCTCCCTTTTTTCCTTGCCAAGTGTGCTTAAAGGCATGTCAATTTTGTTTATCTTTTCCAAGAACATCATCTGAATTGTTCTTTTAGTCTCTATGTCATTCAGTTTGCTCTGATCTTGATTATTTTCTTCCTTTTACTTACTCTGGGCTTTGTTTGTTGTCATTCCTCCAGTTCTTGAAGCTGTTCAGTTAGGTTGTTTATTTCAAATGTTTCTATCTTTATTAGGTAAGCCTGTGTTGCTATGAACTTCCCTCTCAAGACAGCCTTCACTGTGTCCCATAGGTTCTGTACTCTTGTGTGTTCATCATCTTCATTTGCTTCCAGAAACTTCTTAATTTCTTCTTTGATCTCATTATTGACCCATTCATTGTTTAATAGCATGCTATTCAGTCTCAAAGAGTTTGAATGTTTTTGAGTTTTTTCCTTGAGGTTGGTTTCTAGTTTCAAGCCCTTGTGGTCTGAGAAAATGCTTGTTATGATATCAATTTTCTTGAATTTGTTGAGGCTTTCTTTGTGTCCTCTCATGTGGTCTATCTTTAAAAATGTTCCATATGCCTTTAAAGAATGTGTATTTTGCTTCTTTGGGATGAAAGGTTCTATATATGTCAGTTAAATCCATTTGATCTAATGTGTTGTTCAGTTCCACAATATCCTCGATGTTTTGTTTGAAAGATCTATCCATTGTTCACAGTGGGGTGTTAAAATCCCCAACTATAATTGTGTTGCTATCTCTATCTTTCTTGAAGTCCTCCATTTTCCTTATATATTTGGATGCTCCTGTGTTGGGTGCATATAGGTTTATAATGTTTATGTCCTCTTGATGGATTCCTCCTTTCAGTATTATGAAGTTCCTTCTGTGTCTCTTCCATTTACATTTAAAGTTATTATTGATAGGTACTTATTCATTTTTCCCATTTGCACCTGTGTTCCTCTCCCTCTCTCACTCTTTTTCTTCATCTTCTTAAAGCATATCTTGCAGTGCTGGTTTGGTGGAAATGTATTCTTTTTCCCTTCTTTTGTCTGGGAAACTGCTTATTTCACCTTCCATTTTACCTGAGACCTTTGCTGGGTAGAACAGTCTTGATTACAGGCCTTTAGTTTTCATGACTTGGAATATTTCTTGCCATTTCCTTCTGGCTTGTACTGTTTCTGTTGAGAAGTCAGTGGCTTGCTGTATTGGGGCTCCCTTATATGTTACTACCTTTTTCTCCCTTGCTGCCTTTAGGATTCTCTGTTTGCCTTTGATATTTGCCATTTTAATGATGATGTGTCTTGGAGTGGGCCTCATTGGGCTCCTCTGGAATGGGACCCTCTGTGTTTCCTGGACTTTTGTGACTTTTTCTCTCCTCAAATTGGGGAACTATTCCATCATTACTTTTTCAAACAAGTTCTCTATTCCTTCCTCCACTTCTCCTTCTGGTATCCATATTATATGGATATTCTTACATTTCAGGTTGTCCTGCATTTCCCTCAACGCCTCTTCATTCTTTTTGAGTCCTTTTTCATTTTATTGCTCTTTCTGGGAGCGTATTTCTACCTTATCCTCCAGCTCGCTGATTCATTCCTCTGCTTCATCTAGCCTGCTTTTGATTCCTTCTACTGTGTTCTTCAATTCAGAAATTGTATTCTTCATTTCCTCTTGCCTCTTATTGATAGTTTCTATGTCCTTTTTCATGCTGGTATAGTTTGCAGTAAGTTCCTCGTAGTTTCCCTGTAGTTTTTTGTACTTCTCTCTTAGCTCACTGAGCTCATTGAGATTCCTTAGAACTGTTGTTTTGATCTCAATACCTGATAGTTACTTGCCTCTATTTCATTTAGCTCTCTTTCTAGGGTTTCCTCCTTTCCCTTCGATGGGGGAGTGTTTCTTTGTCTTCCCATTATTTGTGAGACTTCTTTTTTTTACTTCTGCACCTTAAGTTGATCTGTCTTGACTTCCTGACTATGTGGTGTGAACTTCTATGGTAGGAGACTGTTATTTTGTCTTTCTGGATCTGTCTTGGATGATGTCAGATGTTGACCCCATTTGACCTTAGGCAGTCTGTTTGAGACTTCCGGGGATCTACTGTCTGTGGCTATCTGGTTCAGTTGATCGTTTAATTACTCTGTACTCAGCAGTCAGG